CTGGAATGAAAGGGATTAAAAATGTGCTTCAAACGAAATAGCTGACGTAACCAATATGTTGTCAAGTAATTTTAATGTCACAGTTAATGTTAAGTTCGGCACTCGAATTCAACTGCTAATCCCAATCAGAATTATGGATTTTTTACCGGTTTAATTGTAGGTCCAATCGAATTTTTAGAAGGCATGAAGCAAATCTGTGGTATTTGAAACACTCGGTCCCACATATACACACACATACATATGTATAAAAATAACTCAAGGATGCGTAAATTTAAATATTTTTGGTATCTTTAATAAATTTTAAGTGTTTACATACATATTGTTTCCTACACATGTATGTGTGAGTTTTTGTAAGCATTATTGGCAAAAAGCAAACTGTTCGTCCATTAAAAATCTCTTCGGCGCAATGTTAATATTTACATTTTTTGTTTCTGCTCAATTTAATATTGAAAATACAATATTGAAATAATAAGTAAGTATGTCTGTATTATTCCTTCATCAAAATAATATACGCCATACTATCGCTGAATATGAAAAAATGTGCATAAATCAACTGAAATAAACTAAATAATAACGAGGAGTAAAATGAAACCGTCACTTATGGTCACGCTCGCAAATATTCGCGGTATATCAAAATGAGTTAAACTGATTTAAACTGATTTCAGCTGATGCACTCTACGTGTGTATATTTCCATATTTACATCAAATTATACATATGCACATACACACATAGCTGCATACATTCATACAAGTTTAAATATGTATGTTCAACCATTCACCCACTTTCCGTTTACACTTACCATGACTCAGTGCGCAATTTCGGAGATTTTAAAATCTAATGAAGCAGAAAACACAACAAGTCCAAACTAATGGCGACCAATTAGCCCGCCAAGCTAACGATTGAGGTCACATCAAGGGTAACAACGCTAAGCGACTGCAACCAGCAAAACGTTATTCGATATGAGAATTTTGGAAAATAATTTTTGCAGTCGTTTTTTTGTGCAATATGTTATTTCAATAAGAAAGAGAGACGAACTTTATCAAAAAAATGGTTCAATTAACACAACTGGTGTTCGCTTGAGAGATAATTAAAAACTTTCATGTAAGTAATTGTTAAAGAATTTCGGTATTACTCTGTAGGAGTTGAGCTTCTAATATACTTTTTTGAATGAGGAATTTTGAGGTGTTGACCATCGCTGGCCGAATAATAATCCTTGTCCGCTCCGGTTACGTAAACTCGACTGGGATGGGAATGGGGAACGGAAACGGAAACGGCGGACTCATTTGTCTTCCTGAAATATTCCTTAACTCTGTTGAGACTGTGTGGACAATTCCCAACCTAAACCATGTGTTTCTTGCTTCGATTGATGAAGTATGTAAGATTTCTCATCTTATGAATTTTTTTCATAACAATTATCGTTGCACACACCAAAAAACATAGAGATTAATACAACAATAAGGAAAAGGCTTTATACAAAAATAAAAAATAATTATTCCAAAATTGTTTATGAGACAACTTTGAAATATAAAATCCGGAATGCGTAAAGAAAATGTATATAAGTAATGGATAAATCATTACTTTTCGCAAAAATATGACAACAACATCGAAATCATATTTATACATTCTGATGAGCTCATATTCCAACCATCGCCTTAAAAATGTTTCAATAATTTCAGTTTTACTGTCTGAATCGTTACATAAATTGATTCGATTTGTCATACGTTTGTGTGTATTGCCCCTCGCCCCTCGCCACTGGTCACACTGTCCATTGACGAGCTCAACAAATTGCAACGCCATAAAGAATAGTTAACTGATAATTGAATCGAAATTCCAAGCAGAAATACTGCAAACTTAAAAAAAAATAAAGAGAAAGGAGAGAGAGAGAGACGGGAAGGCAAAGTGTCACCCGGTGATACGCATAAATTTTAAGCTTAAAAAAGCACAAAGCGCCGAAATGGCAATTGGCGTCGCTGATATATCAGCAGTGTGGCAGAAACAACAGATAAGGTTGGAAGAATGTTTTTATTTTTTTTCTTAATTTTTTTTTGACTTGGCACCCAATATACGGCTGTCAATTTTAGTACTATTACCAGAGTTTACCTGTACAGGCACACACATGCATACATCATAGTACTCGTACTTGTACATAGATTCATCTGTGCATTGGAAAAGTTTCCAATAATGCAGTACACCAATTTATTTCTCAAATGTGGTTGAATGTGCATAATTCCTAACAGTCACTTGGTGCCCAAATTGAGTATTGAAATGTTTATATTTGTAAGGGTGTACGTTTTTTTTTTAAGTACTACTACAAATATACGGTCGAACACATTATAGACGAAAAGTTCTAAAATATACTATTGTTAAAATATTTCGCAATTTAATTACATTTATTTGTTTCATTACCGTTATTAGTTAGATCTCATTTAAAACTTCCTTAGTAGCACATTATATGCGTATATAGACTTATATATTTGAAATAAATAAAATGTATCATCTTAAAGAAAATAACGCTCACCCTAATTTGTAATCCTATAAACAAATGCTTTGAATGTTCAATTGCATATTTATTGGTGGACAAGTATTTTTAATAGTTGACTGATAAACCATCTGTTCTATCAAGCGTTATCGATATGTTGGGAGTGTTAAGAAAAGTTTGCTTTGCTATTTTTTATTCACCTCAATTAACGGGGTTATATGGAAAAATAGTATTAAATCGCGATTATCAAAAATACGTTTTTATTGAATATGAAAAAATATTTTTTTTTAAATCTTTAGAAATGTTAGACCATCTGATGACAAAACAAATAAAAATAAAATAGTTATCAATAAACCGCAAAATTGAATTGTCTCGCATTCCATTTACAAATATACATTTCCCGCTTTATAGCTTCTGTTACCTTGTTTGTGCGATTTATTTGTTTGCCATTTTCTCTTCGCATAAACAGGTAGGCACAAACTACATATGTATGTTATCTACATGCTTGTTGCTTGCAAACTGCAGTGTGCAGTTCCCCTATTATCCTGTGCTGATCTGTATGGTAAATGCCAATATTTGTGCCTATAAGCTATGGCAAATCATATTTGAGTCATCGATCAGCCAGCCAGGAAGGTGGAAGTACACACTGCGGTAAGGGAAATATACATATTATAATTTAATTTGTAAGTGCATAATTTAAATGCTTGTGTATAGAAATAAACCATAAACCAAATATGCGTTAAATTCGCCCCTGCTCATCCGTACCAGGATTGTATTCTAATGTCGTGTAATCATGGAAATTGAACTAACTTTTCATCCTGCCTGGTATTTATTTCAAATAATAAAAGTTATGGTGCCGGTGAGTAGTGATCACTATTTTATGCTAGGAACTGCACTCTAACAATTTCACTAAAAACACATTATTATGGACACCATAAGTTTTACAAGTACCTTGATTGAAAAATGTCGAAATCAGCTGATTAATGGTTAGTAAAATTCATCAATAAATCGCGTCAATAAAATATGATTAATACAATGAACGAAGATATTATGACCAATCACATAACGCCAGCAGCCAGTAAAAAAAAATATTAGAAACACGCGCCGTGGCTAAGCCGATTTAGAGGGTGCAGGGAACCAAGGAAAAGAAAAGAATAAACAATTAAGTTAAGACAAGATATTGAGATCGATTAACATGAATAATTCAAGAAGGAAAGGTGAGCTATACGCAGCAAAAATGTAAATAAATAAAAAAGGTTTCCAAAAAAGATTTTGAATAAATGTGGTACTTGCAATATATTTATATACGTAATTAAACACCAGTTTTTAATAGGTACGAATATTTGGATAAGCATTACTAACTGTAATGGGGATATAACATATGTACAACATATATGAGTATGAATCATACACTGGATGTTTAAACAATGTACATGTTCTCAACAAATCATTAATAATTAATTAGAAAATTATTCATAATTTTTTAGCATTTATTATAGAGAAAAACAACTTATTTTTAAACATTCAATACTTCATCAAAAGAATAAATGTATTAGCTCTTAATTAATAAATGTTTTTATAATTTTCAATTGAAAATTAATACAATTTCCTGTTTTCTTTAATTTTCATTGTTTTCCAATTTTTGTTGGTGATTTGCAACAGCGGCAAAAAATCTCTCTGTTCACATATTTTTTTGGTAAGATTTCAATCTGGCCGTCTCTCTAAACGTCAGACCTCCTGAACATTGACAGTTGCCTGAGTTCAGGAGTTTTTAACGTTTAGCAATTGCAAATAATGCATTAAACAAATAATTGAATTAAAATTTATTTTATTTTTAATCCCGTATTGAGGAGTACAAAATAAAACAAAATCGCTTACCGAAATGATAATAATCGCTTACCGAAATATAATTTAATTTGTAAGTGCATAATTTAAATGCTTGTGTATAGAGAAGTAAAAAAATGTTTAATCCCACATGATGGAATAAAAATTAAAAATAAATAAATGTTATTTTTAATCCGGTATTTTTTTTCATTCCGGTAAACGAGATTAGAAATTCAAAATTAATGAGAAATAAAAAAATGTTTAATCCTACATGCCGGATTTAAGATTAAAAATAAATAAATGTTATGTCTTTTTTTTCATTCCGGTAAACGAGATTAGAAATTCAAAATTTATATTAAAAATTTCATAAAAACTTCAAAAAAAAATTAAATTCATAATAAATTGTTAATCCCAATTACCGGATTGAAAAATAAAAAAGAAAGATTTTAATCTTAAGGTATAATTAAGAATTAAAAAAATAATTTGTTATAGAATTAACACATTTTCGAGTTCATTCAATTCAAAAAGTAATACTTTCAATTTTTAATCCCAGCATCGGGATTAAAAAATTAAAATCAAACTTTTAATCCAAAAATCGAGATAAGGAAATAAAAATTTAATTTTTAATGCCAAATTCTTTAATTTAAATATTCATAACCCTGGTTACCAACGACAGCAGATTCTCGCTGCGCAGCAACCACATATCCGCTACTAATTGAGCAGCGCTGCAAACGTTCACTTTAAAATCGGGTAAAAATCGATTTGTCACATTTGGGTTGGTGGTTGCAGTAAAAGTGTTTTTAATTCAAATATTAACAGGGATCTATTTACCCAGGACATATATCTCAATAATTATTATTACATTTTCAACTAAACTTTTCGTATACCGTCCCAGGCAACTCTGGAGGCGATCACTCTATTGACTTTTTCATGGTCATACGCTAATGTGTTTATTTGAAGGTGGGGGCGTGAGTATACATTAGACACTCTTAACTCATACCGCTTTAATATCCAGAGACCAAAAAAGCTTATATTTTACACTATAATGTTATATTATATATGTACTTACTATTCTTTGATCAGCATTTTCGTTTATTCTGGTATATCGTTGCTCTATCCTGTTGTATTTTTATATTTTACTAGTTCAGTTAATATAACTTACTGATTTTCTTATAATTGTTAACACTTAAGGATTAATATTCTTTAACACTTGCATTAACACTTTTTTTTACTTTATAGGTTTTGTTTTGTTCCTTCCTCAACTATTCCCGAAAGTAAAGGGAAGACACAGCCGCTTGCACCAACTAGATAGTCGTCGTGAGAATGTTTTTTATCGTGGAGAGCTATTGTTGTCAGCCGGCGTAGCAGTTAACTTTGGCATTGGCGCTAGCAGAAAATACGATATTCTCACAATATCACAATTTTTATGATTTATTTTGCTCTCCTCGCTAAAAATCGCTTTTGATTTTCCTTTTTTTAATTTATTTGTTATATTGCACTATTGATTCGATTATGAATGTCACAATATGAAATTCTATCCACAGACGGACTTGAGATATCTTATTTAATAACTCTAGGACACGCGTGTAAATCGTTTGATGAATTATCTACTTTTTTAAGTTTTTGCGTTAAACACGGTACACGGTAGAAGCAAAAACGTCAGATAAAACCGAGAGAATCTGCAAAGATTGATGAATTTAAATTTTCACTTTCGCTCCACCTTCGCAGCTTTTTGCTTCTGTTGGAAACAGTTGAAGACCTGACGGCGCTGCCAATAAATGATTTGCTGAATGACACGTGAACCAGTGTTGTATGCCAGGGTACCAACCAATAGCAAGAATTGCAACACGTATATTTTCGAATTGATTTAGTTGATTTGATATAAATATCACTTTTTATCAATAATAAATCGATTCAAAGGAATAGACTTCTTTAAGTTCAGGGAACAGTTTGACAATTAGAAAAGTTCCAATAAGAAAAGAGCAAATCTGTGTGGTTGTTTTTTCTTCTGTCATGCCAGCTGCCGAAATATTCAACGGACAAGAGTTAAGCGGTTATCTCTTTTCCGCTCAGTAGTTAAAAAGTATGTCTGAAGAGTACCATAAATGTTAGCAACACAACATTTGGCAAAATAATTGCAGCGTGAAGTTAGCTGTTTCTCTACAACTAAATACCGGTGATGGTTAACGGCTAAAATTACTTTTTTGCAACTTAACAAAATAAATAATTAATTTTATAGATTACACCTAAATTTTAGCTTGTAACATTTTCTCTAAATTTAATAATGGTGCAGAAAACTTATAATTGTTTTGGACTAGTAATAGCTAACAACTAATATGAATTATCTCAGAATTGAACACACCTATTACAAGGTCCCCTCGACAAAGTTGGACTTTTATTTATATTTAACTTGCACGGAAACGGAAACGCTTAAGAGTTATATTTTTACACGACAGAGATTCGTGGAATTTATTTTATTTTACTTTTTAATATTTCAGTGGAATTATCGCTACAAATTAAATAATATTGTTTTTGCAGCCACGATTGACTTAATATATTATTTTAAATACACCTCCAAGTCTGAGATTTTTGTTATAGAAAATTATTATATAATATACTAGACGCAAAAACTTCCAAAGACGCAAAAAATGTTATTCCAAGGGTTCAACGCTGCTTTATACCTCTTAACGGCGTTATACCACTTAACTTCTGTGAAAAAGAGCGTGTGGCTTAAAAGCAATATTCTTTGCTTCTTAACTGCAGATGATTGGCCGTCTGGAAATCCAGATTTCAATTCGTAAGACTATATTTTTCAAAGTTGGTCGATACCCCAATAAAATCTGGAATGTCTAAAAAATTCTTGGTTGGAGCAGCGTCGTCAATACCAATAGAAACTGTGCGTGCTGCTATTGATCAATGACCATGAATGAATGAAGAGCCGTTATGAAAACTAACGGTGATAATTGAAAATCTTGTGCATTGTAAATTTAGTACATATATGCATTACTAAATTAACAATTAACAATTAACTTTATTAAAAAATTTATTATAGTTTCATTTTTAAAACGGCCTGAACTTGTAACAGTAGCTCCCAACGTTAAAGATCGCATGATTTTACACAAATAGCTGGCAAATGATGAAATGCAAAAGTAATGGTTTGAACCTTCTAACCCTAAGTAAAACTTAGATATTTATTGGTTTTGGATTTAATTATACTCGTTCATTTTTAGATGGACATGCTCACACATAAAATCAGGCAAAGTGTAAATGTATGTAGGTGTATCTCAAGGCTAATTTATGTTGTTTGGAATAAAAATTAACCTAATTCCTCATTTTTGATATAAATACCCTAATGGCTTAAGTTATACGACAAATGTTTACATATGCATATAGTTACGCAAGCGTACCGTACATTTAATAAGTAGACGTGTTATGAATGAATTAGGATTATATTACAAAAAAGCAAAAACAAAATCCATTTTTATACATGTGTGCATGTAATAGAAGTGCGTGTATGGGTGCTTTGTAGTTTATTATGATTCCATTTCAAAATTCTTATTTGCACTGAAGAGTGTTAAATAAAATTATGGATTTTTATTTGTATATACATATGTATTTATATAATTAAGTATTTCTCCTACCTAATTTCATTTATCTTCAATTGCAGCATTAAACATCGTAAACGTATCGGTGTACTCGATTACATCATTGAATAGATTAAATTGTTTCACTTAACAATGAAATTACTGTATATAATATTAATAAATATATTTATATTGGTATATATATATATATATGTATCTATGCAGTAATGGATATGAAAGAGCGTGATTGATAGATTATGATTCATGGACTTTAGCGTCTCTCAAGTATAGAAGGACGTCAGTTCCCGCTGTAAACTAAGAGGAATCACGACATTTCAAGCAAATATTTATTTCTTTTTACATAAAATAAAATTTTGCAATACCTGCTTTAAACTTTGATTTTTATTATTATTGGAATGGCAATGCATAAAAAAAGCAGACATATTATGCCACTAAGCACAAATGAATTCACTTCAAGAGATGTCTTTGAGGAAAATCAACTTCGAAGTGAAAATATTACATAGAATTACGTAATATGTCTGTTTGTATTATGCGTACATAGTAAGTATATATGTGTGTATGTAAATATCTAATTATATATGAGTAAACGAAAGCTCTTCTTTGTTTAATTAGTAAATAACATTATGCAATGTACATTCTAAACTTCCTTCAGCTAAAGTGATAACAATTTCCAATTAAAATTAAGCAAATATGAAAATATACAAAAAATTTCATAAAAATAGTACTTCGCTTTACACATAACCTCATATTTAGTATGTATGTATGTATGTATGTATGTACAATATTAGAACTAAGAAAACAAACAGTAAATACGTGGGTATGTTCTCGAAAGAGCTGTGTATGTATATGTGTGTAAGCATATCAAAAGTATCACTAAATGGCAAAACACACAGTCAGTCCCCGATTATACGGACACACATACTGAAATAATTCAACTATTTACAGTTGATCTTTCGATTTAAGCTAGCAACATTTGAACCGCTTCGTAAGTTTAATCCATTTTATAATTGTTTCGACAACTTTTAAAATGAGAGTGTGGTTGCTGCGCTAACGCTCATGTTAGCACCATGAGAAGAAAGGACTTTTATTTTGAAAGCGTTGCGTAAACGAGAAGAACCGACTATTTTGACCGCGAGATCTGAAAACATAGTATACGAATAAAATATTTATATCCATAAGATGAGATTATACGCAAGAATGATGAAAATGGAGATGACCACTTCAAATACTCTTACATAAAAACGTTTTCATATACCATACCTTTCCACCACTACTGCCGGCATTTGCACCAACTGCACTGGCGATTTACCATCCTTAAGCGCTTGAGTTAAATTCAATATCTGACCACGCATCACAGACATTTGGCGTTCGAAAAGACGCTTATCAAAACCTTTATCTTGCTGTTAGCAGATCATAAGAAATATAAATAATCTATAAACATTTATTTATAAAATTACAGGCACATATACATACCTGAAATAAATAAAATAAATCCGTACAAATTTCCTCGACATAATTCATGTCGGACAACAATGGCAGCACATGGTTTTTCGTCTCTTCACTAAATGGCACTTTCGCTTGTGGTAACCACGCCCAGTGATACGGATAGGCACGCCACGAATCGGGGTGTTTGAATGGGAATGCCAGCCCATTATCGATTGCCGCAATTGTAATAGCGCCCTCTGTTGTCGTATCACCTGACTGACTAGTAGTCGGTTTATTTGCACTGGCTACGTCAAAATTAGGAGAAGCAGGCTCAGAATCTTGCTTCTGTGCCGTTGAGTCTAATTTATTGGCATCCAGTTTGTCAGCAATTTGTGGCGTCTGTTCGCCGTCCTGTTTTTGTGATGTTTGTTCGGATACGTTGGTTGGTTTCACAAGCAACCCTCCGCCGTTAGCGGAAGTCTTTGCAGTACCTGTAGGCCGCACATAGCGTATTAACCAATTGTCATTGCCACGATCCGTATTACGTATAATGTAATCGAGTACAACAAGACGTTCAAATTGAAGCTGAAAGGAGTTGGCGAGTTTTGCGGTGAGAGGCTCTTGTTCGAAGCGACGTAACCAAAAGTCGGCATCCTTATAACCTTCAACAAACAGCTGAAAGGAACCAGTCTATGGGGGAAGAAAATTTCAAGTGTTATTTTATAATATATATAAGTATATGCCTTCTACCTTAAGTGGCAGACTCATGCGATTGAAATGCGCCGACGGATAGTGTTCTTTGATGCGTCGCTTTAGTTTTGCCTTCTGTCGATCGATACGTGCGTAGTTGAAAGTCTCGGCAACTAGCCGTACAACGCGGGTCTTTGGTACAATATTTAGATGCAATTTACGATCTACCAAGCTGGCACCTGCCTCTGACAAGTAGCTGAAATGACGGGGACATCAATTTACTACTTTTTTTTTAATTTACAGGGTTATATCTGTATTCTTGATAACATACAAGTATGAAGTATGAACGAAATCAATTTTCCGTCTTTCATAAAATCCCATATACTCTCTAATATTAATAAACTATATTACCCTTGATTCGGTATCAGACAGGCGCGTCCAAAGCAACAAGGACAACACAACTTATGCATCCATTTGGTCCATTTCGGATTCAGTCGTCCATAGGGCTCCTCATCCTTCGGCTTGAACACACCTAAGATTTTCTGGAAATATAAAAATAAAATTAGAACTAAAACTACTTGTCTTTACATATACATACATACATATGTATGTGTTTAAATAATATATGAACAAAAAATACAGATAAAAAATTTTGGATCGAGTATAATAGTGTTTGATTTTACTACCAAAAATTCGCACAAAAGTCAACTTAATCGTGGAATTTCCCCGTAAAGAATTCATTTAATGTAGCGACTACTGACGAAAACAGTTGAAATATCTGCAAAACTGTCAAATCTATCTAACAGCCATACAGACAATCAGACGCAAGTTATGATGAAGTCGACAAAAATAAAAACTAATTAAGAAGGGATTCAAGAGATCGAATTTGTTAAAACTAAAATTTACTCGCAGTGGAGCATATTCGGATCTGAGACTTTAAGTATAGTATATAGAAATCTTTTCGTCGAAGTGTAATTCAAATTTATTGTTTCTCTTGAAAGCCTCTAGGCCTCCTAGGGCTAGGTAAAGAGACGAACTCACTTAAGAAAATTTATTCTGGAGAGTATCTAGATTTTTCTTCCATAATCGGGCATTAAGGCAATATGACAATAATTTGACAAGTTTAAGTTAAGTAATTATTAATTGAATTATTTCACTTACACCTTCGGCGTTCTTTACAAAATACGACCCACTGCTGCCCTGATAGATGCGCTCTGGCATAACACCGGCTGTAATGGCCGTTTCTACTTGCAATACAACTTCATTGAATGCGGGATCATCTGCAAACAAAAAAGAATATTGCATTAGTTAAGATAAAAATATTTATTCAACATATATATATGTGTATACACATACATACATATACCATATATGTAAGATGTAAAAAGTCATTAATTACTAATTAAATTGGTGCGCAAAACCATAATGCGGCAAACGTGGACACGCTGCTTCCATCTGCAAGGTGGCAAATGTACGGTGGAAACTGGACATAGCCACAAATGTTGCCACCACAATCGCCAACCGTTACATCTGAGCCAACTTTCACGGGCACCCATCAAACCGGACTAACCAAAAGCAGAGCGATAAAAAATCAAAACAGTAGAACGTCAGTCAGACGACAGCTTTGCTCACACATACCATCGTACAACATATGCAATAATTTCATATTGGGTATTATACAATAAAACGATTTAACTGAAATGTTCACCGTCGGCACGTCAATTTTATTGAACTGTTCATAAATTATGCAACGATTTTTTAAGTTTTGCTATTTTTACTTGCTAGCTTTTCCAAGAGACAGGTGGAAATTGTCGTTACTGGGTGTCAATTTGTATGCAATTACAGTGTGATCAAAAAACAGAGTTACAAAGAAAACTTGAAAGTGTTGAAGCTAATAAGTAGCCGACAAAAGAGTTATCGAGAGAACAACAAAGTTTTTATGTGTGGAATTTAACTATCTTAGTTTATTTCGCAACGTTTAATCTATATTTTTATTGACGTTGATATCTGTCGTATAACAAGTAAGGAATGGCTAAGTTCTTTTGTAGGAATGAATTCGTTGAATCCAATTTTCGAGTACTTTTTCCACTAAATCAAGTCGTATGTCATGTATAGCTCGTTTAATATTGACTTCTAAAGCATGACGAGAGTTTGCGTTATTGCTAAAGACTAATGACTTCAAATAACCTTACAAGAAGTAGTCTAATGGTGTTAAATTACAACTTCTTGGAGGTCTTTCAATGTCACAATTTCTTCAAATTATCGAATCTCCACACTTATCTCGCAATAATTCGGTTGTTGCACGTGCTGTGTGGCACGTAGGTCCCAGACATAGTTGGTTATCATCGATCTATACCGTTCTCCATTGTCAGTAACGGTGTCACCAGCTTCATTTCGAAAGAAGTGCAGACCGATGATTCCACCAGACCAGAAACCATACCAAACTGTCAATTTAGGTGAAAGTAATGGTTGTTCATGAATAATTTTTGGATTTTCTTCACACCATAATCGAAAATTTTGTTAATTTACCACACCACTCACCATAAGCATAACGACCATTAAATGGCAAGAGCGCACGAAAAGTTGCAAGTGGATGGTCCATGATGAAATTGTAAACATTACTACATAGAATAAAAAATAACCATGACATATTAAAAATGGCCGAAACGCCACTTAGAAATCATATAATCTCTATTAGTAAACCCGATATTATTATTCAATGTATCGTTACAATATCTAAATAAATTGTTTAAATCGGACCACTATATATCAAAATCAAGATGAAAGTTTTTTTATGCTAATTTATGCTATAAAAAAAGTACCTGTTATATATATATATATAATTATAGCTATGGTGCAGCCGAAGTTAACATCTTTTCTTGTATTATCACACTTTTCACATTACACAAACATATTTCAAAAAATCTAAAGCGGTACAAATAAAATTGCAACACTTAAATATTTCTAAGATATATTTATTTATTAGTTACCCCTTAATCGCAATATATTCCAATGCGCAAAGTCCTCAAACAGCGTGTAGTCCTGCGAAGACGAGCACATTTTGTAGGTATTATTGGAATTCTAAAATTCACTTGATTATATTATTAAAGCAAAGGCTATACGAGCAAAAATTTAATTAGAACACATTTAATGACCGTGAACGGCTGACAAGCGGCCCACATACGTTGCCATACGTGAAGCAACTCGAAAGCTCGGAAGATAATACGAACGCCTCCTGCTTCAGAACACCAAAATGC